ATAGACATATGCCTGTTTCAAAGCCTGAATATTAACTTTAGTATATTATAGTTCTGACATATTAGCTGGCAATAATTAATGAGGCAATAAGTTGTATTTTTATAGGCTACAGGATATTTATCATTTTTTCTCTTCACACTCATATTTAAGGAGTTAATTAGGTCTGTCAGTAATACAAATACCCTTGGAAAAATTTATTTTAATAATCTTTCCAACAATTATCCATAAAGGTAAATGTAGTCTTAGTCACTAAAGTCCAGCATAATTGGCTGGCTTGGGTTTTTTTATCTGCTGTCTAGCATAAGTTTCTGTGTGGTCAATTTGTTGCTCGGCTATTTGGGTTAAATCTCCAGATTTTATACTGTAAATAAATAAATATCCTAAGCAAAAAGGGATTATTTGGAAAGATACTATTGTGTCTTGATTTGAAGGAAGTTGAACAATCTAGCTGTGGGAAGAGGAGTGTCTCAACTGAACTTGTTATGCAGCTGCAGCCCAGGAATGAAGCACTACTTCATATCAGCTAAGTCTGTACCTCTTTATGGGCTGCATAAGCTGGAGACCAGCTTCCTCCTGTTCCTGGGGAACCTCATTGCTATCTAACTCAGATAGATGAACCCTCTTCTACTACCAGATAGATGAACCCTCTTTCCCAATCCAGGTCTGTAAATATCACAGGAAAACTCTGATTGGCCCAGCTTGAGCCTTCTCTGCCGTTTGGACAGTGGACTCTAAAGGAAACATTGAGAAAAGATTGGCTGGGGGAGAAAGAATACTGGGCCAACAATTCCAAAGGTGTTCACTCCCTAGCCCTGTGTTCCTTCCTAAACAGAATGTTTTTGATATAGGTGATGTTATTTTCTGTTCTAGAAATTATGAAACTGTCCCTCTAGAAGGTTAGTGGTTTAACAGAGATCATACTATTCAATGGCAAGGCCAAGCATCACATCCCAATGCTAAAAAACTCTTGCTTTAACTAATACAGTGCATTGTTTTCCATGCAATAAATAGAAAAGAAAAGAACTAGCAGGTAGATGGGAAGGTGGAAAATAGAAATGATAACAGAGTGATGAAAAATTTGTAAGTTTCTTCCTAGTAACCTTGGATTTAGCATCTGTTTTTTTTTTTTTTCAAAGAACAGTCTAAAGCCATACCAGTTCTTCTGAAAATGAACAACGTTTTCTCCTTCCTGCAGTGAAAACAAATAGGATCTCAGTTTAAAATCTCTGAAAGACTGCCTGAATAAAGCAATATAAAGGCACAGAATAAGGCAATATAATTCTCTGATAGAGCAAACTTCAAAATTAGATGCATTTTAAGACTAGAGGCAATGTTGATTTCTTAAAGCATTTCCATTGGTTCAGAGCCCCTTTATCTACACAGGAGGCTAACAATAGGTCTTCAGAAAATAAAAGTATGGAGGGGAGAAGAAAGCAGTAGAGCCTGGGCCAGATCCCATACTGCTTATCTTCTTTGAACATGATCTAGTGTGGCTTGGGAGCCTGTTCAGAGGCTCCTTCAGAAGGCAAGGAAAATTAAGAGTAAGGGATACACTGAATGATGCACAGAAAAAATAGGTATTGTAATTGGTTTTGCTGAGACTTGGAAGCTAGCTCAGTGGGTTGCTTTTCATATCCTGAATGTAGACTTTGAGTTAAAGAGGGCCACCATAGAAAGTGCTGCCTAATAACACCCTCAGATGCAGGCTGCAGCCACACATCGGTGCATGATTCAGAAAGTCCACGTAGAGGGAGAAATTCAGAGTAGATTGAAAGCAGATATTTTGGGGCAATTAGTTCTGTTTTTAGTCCACATCTAGTTTGGAATGGAAAGTAGCTACATTTTATTTTAAAGAGTGTCTAGGGACAATGCCAGAATCAATCTTTCAGCACATTTTCTGATTACCCAGGTAGTAAAAGTATTTTAGTATTTTTTAAAAATAAAATCCTTTTATAGTTCTTGTGATTCTTCCAATTACAAAATGTTCTTCTCTGTGTTATTGATTATTAGAGGTTAGATATCAAAATTAGGGTGTCTATGAGAATGGACTTTCTTGATAGAATGAATGCTTCAAGGAACTTTTTGACTCTGGAAAATGAATTATATTAAATTTCACCAACTTTAGTACATTGTTATAAAAAGCAAAAGTATTCCAGCCTGAAAAAAAAAATCTGTAATCTGGCAGACTGTTTATCTTTCTTAAAGACTATGAAATGTAAGATTGTGTGAGTCTTATTTGTTTGCTGGAGGAAAAAAGTGCTACTTTCAGTGGAGACAGTTCTGGTAGGATGCCAGATTGAGAATAAGGGGGGAACAGAGATAGAACTCTTTCCCTTAGGAAGGATGGTGTGTCCTTATTTAGACTTAGAAATCTAAGTATAGACCTTAGCCCTTTTTCTGCCTTCCTGGCTGAATGTCATGTGTTCGGGGTGTTTGGCTATGTCAGCACGTCACTATAACATGACATGACCTGCAATATCACAGAATTTTATGCAAGCCATGCCCAAGAAGGTCAGTCTTTTCTAGTGGTCATTGGCCTGCAAGGTCTCCAAGGTACTTTTTCATATAACCCAACAGTTTTTAGAAGTGTTCAGTGGGTTTAGAATTTACTGACCCCCTTGGAGCATCTAGGGCATTAGACTCCATGTTAGCCAAATAGATTATATCAGTAGCAAGTGTGATGCTGTGATTTTGAACTAATGCTTGTAATTGATCCCGGAAATTAGGGGGAGTGATGGGTGTCAGCCCTCTTAATACAGAGCAATAATCTCAGCATTGCCACTTGTATGATTGGCTCATTTTTTTCTCTTTTCAGTTCTGAAGATTGAACCTAGGGTCTTGCTAGGCAAGCACTCTACCACTGAACTACACCACCAGTTCTTTTTAAAATGTATTCTGAAAGAAGTTCTCACTAAATTGACGAGGCTGTCCTCCAACTAGCAATCTTCCTGCCTCAGCCTCCTGAGTAGCTGGAATTACAGGCATGCAACACTGTCCCTGGTGGTATTTTAAATCAGTTGGCAAAAATTTGTGGAATTCCAGCTATGCTATAGCTTTGGCTGATGCTGTAGGCAAGGTGACCATATAGCTTATTAACAGCATCACTTTTGACAGTGAGAGGGAGTTGTTAGTAATTATACTGAGTCAGTAGTCATCTACTGTGACTGTCCTGGCTAAACTAGGATGGATGAGTGCTTTAATTATAGGACACATTAGAAAGCTATTCATGTCCTTGGTGTATACTCAAAGGATTATATAACTCTTGTTAGACAGCTAATCCTTACACTTTAGACAATGCAAGAACATTATTAAAAAGTCCTTCTAAAATTATTCCATTGTACCTCCTGCAATGAGTTTCTCTTATACTGATTTATATAACAGACATTTATAGGCATCTCTTATCTTTAAAAATTACTCCCTTTAGCACTGGGATATAGCTCAGTGGTAGAATACTTGTCTTGCCTAAGCAAGTCCCTGAGTTCAGTACCCAGTTCAAAAAAAAAAAAATTACTTTACTCATCTATTACCCCATTTTCTTGTCTTCTCATAGCAAAAACTTGTTGGAAAAGTAGTTTATAGTAGGCATAATGCAAACTTTTTCTGTTAAAGACCATACAGTAAATGTTTCAGTTTTTGTGGACCGTATGGTCTCTGTAGTGACCATCCTCACTAGGGTGAAAAGTAATCATAGATAATACCTGAATGAGCCATTTCCCCCAAAAAAACATTATTTACAAAAGCAAATAGCAGACTGAATTTGGCCTACAGGTCATCATTTGCTTGTCCCTGCTCTGTATCACTGTTTCTCTCCATCATGGCACTCTCCGCTTCCATCCTCCTGCACTGCACTGAAACTGCTCTTGTCAAGGTCATCAGCACGCAACTTCCTTGTTGAGTTCAGTTGCAGTTTTCTATCTTAATCTTACATGAATTTTCTACAACATAAGATACAATCACTCCTTTCCTCCTTTAAACACTTTTGTTTGGCTTCTGTGACATCATTGTCCTTGGTTTTCTCTCATGTTGCTCACGATTTTCCTCTTGCATTTTTGTTCTTTTCTTTTGTTCTTTTCTTCATGACTTCCCAGTGTTAATGCCTGAGGGCTCAATCCCTGGCTTTCTTGTCTTCTCTTCCCTTCCTTGGCATATGGGACATATTCAGTATATTCTTGTTGAATGAGCGAAGAAGTGAATGAAATGCTGCCTGGTGTGGCTGGCACTCCAGCTGCCAAGGAACTTAGAGCAGTGTTTCAGCTGTAGGTCACCCTCAGTAAAGGGACAGTGCAGTGCATGTGTTCTACAAGTATGTAACACTAACATCCTCCCAACTCCCTCCTGTTGCTGTCCTTACTCACAAAAGATACTATGGGTTGTCTTAGTTTTAATGTGTAGCATCCATATTTATAGGTTTTTATTTCCATAGACACATTTGGTTCACCATTCAAGTGTACCTTTCTAATTTCATTTCATTGGTATTTTAAGTGCAACACTGTAGTTGTCTTCAAGTTTTGCTACAATACTGGAACCCCCATACACAGTTCTGATTTTTTTTTTTTTTAAAGACACAGTCTCCTGGAACTTTCCAAATCCAGAGCTCTCCCTATCCCTAACTTAGAGCCACCTGTATCTCTTTACAGGTTTTGAAGGTTATTGTGCGTGTACGCGCACGCATACACACACACACACACACACACACAGATGTGCATGTCCTATTTATTTGTTGTCATCAATAGCATATAATCACCAAAATAGAGCAAAATGGCTTAGTTTTTAAATTAAAACTTTATGATGAAGATTGGTAAGAGTCCCAAGCATTTGCCTATATCTAAATTCTAGACTCTTATTTCACTACTATTTTGGTACAGTAAAATTGTCAGCATGTGTACAGTGAATCAAGATAGCTTTATGGTAATTTTCTTTTGAGGCTGGAATTGATTATGATGTAGTGATTGGTGCTGTCTTGCATTGCTTCTTGTTTTTCATTTATTTCTCTCATCTAGGCACTTGAAGAGGCCCAGAAAGCTATTCAACAACTCTTCGGCAAAATCAAAGATATCAAAGACAAAGCAGAAAAATCAGAACAAATGGTGAGTTTAGGTTTCCTCCTAGCTTTTTTGCATCCGCAGAGGAAGTTAGTTTCTCTCTCAGTCATGGTAATTAATGAACTTTTTCCCCCACTTCCTGCCAGCCACAGTCATCCACATCTCTCAGGCAAGTCCCTGTGAGTGCATTACGGACTGACTCAAGGGGAGCTGCTAGACAATGGTGACTCACTGTCCCTCCTGCACTACATTTTCATTCCCATATTTAAATAGGAAAAGTTTTCTTCTTTTCCCCAAAATAGTTTCCTAGTCATTTTGGATGCTTTTTCTCTAGCATTTGTTTATCACATATTTCTCAATCAAGATACATGATGATATGTAACTTGGTAGCACACTAAAACTGGTCCTGGATCTGGGAGATGGGGTGCACCCTGCTCAGTTTACATACATATAGTTTTAATTAAGTTCTTTTTTTTTTTTTTTTTTCCAGAATGAACTTTTTTTATTATGGCAAACAGAGTATCATGTTTAGAAACTTTGATAGACAGAAAATAGTTGAGTCATATATATTCCTTTGCTATTTTCACATCTAATTTTACTTAAAGTGTTAACATTACACATAAAAACCCAATAATTTTAATAAGAAATTGTTCAGTTTTACTTGCAACTTTGAGAGCCAAAATTCTAATACATATTGGAATCTAAAAGCTATTAGGAAATAGCAATAATAGAGACTACATATTTTAAATATTGGACAAATGAAGAGAGCATATATTGAGATATAAATCGGAAAGTATTTTCTAAAAGATTCTTAAATATACAGAATTAGTAATGTATGTTCTTTCAATATTCAAGCATTAAAAATGAATTTACCAAAAAAATCAACTTATATACAATTTAAAAAAACCCTACCAATGAAAAAAAAAAGAGAGGCACTACTTTTATCCACAAAAGGCATCCAGATGTTTTAACAGTTTAAAAATAAAAAGGGTCCAAAACAATTGACTCCTTAGAAATTAATTAAGTTCTTGTTCCTCAAATTTGTGGTTTCTTGGGATGTACTCAGATGGCCACTCTGCTGACCAAAGATCAGCAGTCACCACTGTTATTCCATGGAGACACTGAGATGCAATCTCCTGGATTGAAATTTTAAGTAATATGATGCATCTGGATTTCAGTTTCTTCAACCATAAAATAAGAATGACAGCATCTATGTCAACAGGGTTATTGTGAGAATTAAATATATGAAGAGAACTGAATAGACTACTAGGGATTTGGATTTATGGTCCTTTCCAAAGAGTGAACTACACCTACCAGGGGCTGTTGAAGTGTGATTATTAGGTGACACGTCAAATGCAACTTTTGTTAGAGTTTATTGTACTCATTTTTTGCTCATAAGTCATCTTCTGTTTCTAATTTGCTATTCTGGACTATGCTTCCTCTTCCAGATGGGGCATGCAATGACCTGTCATTCAAGTAAGCTGCGTCTGGCATTATTAGATGTCTTATTTGCTTCCCTGGACAGTGCTTTGCTAAGGGGAAGAGGAGGAAGGAATGAGGAGAGAACTGGTATTTGTTGAGTTCTTTTAATGTGCCAAGCATGGTGCCACTTCCTTTTTTTGGCACTAGGGGTTGAACCAAGGGGCACTAGACCACTGAGCCACATCCCCTGCCCTTTTTTGTATTTTATTTAGAGACAGGGTCCCGTTGAGTTGCTTAGCATCTCGCTTTTTGCTGAGGCTGGCTTTCAATTCAAGATCCTTCTGCCTCAGCCTCCTGAGCTACTGGAATTACAAGCAGGTGCCACTATACCTAGGGTGCCACTTCCTTTTTTTTTTTCCCAAGAACAAATGAGGTTTATTCCAGAAAAGCAAGGTCAGTGTGACATTCAAAACCCAATATTAACCATGTGAACAAAACAAACAAAATCAGGTTCCACTTATGCTATCCTCCCCTATATTATGTCCACAAATTGACTTCCCACATATCCAGAGCAATGAGACTCATTTCATTTACTTCTTTTCTCTCATTCACACTCCTTCATTGCCGAATCAGGGTCTAAAAACTATTGTTCAGTAGTTATCCCATTTATCCATTTTTACTTTAGTTGCCTGTACTTTTGGGTCCATATCCAAAAAATAATTGACCAACTGATATCATAGAGGATTTCCTCTTATTTTCCTCCATCTATTTTACAGTTTGGATCTTATATTTAAGTCTTGATTTCACTTTGAGTTAGTTTCTATGAATGGTGTAAGACACAAGGTCTTATTTTATTCATCTGTGTGTGAATAACCAGTTATCCCATTGCAGAAATTGTCTTTTCCCATTGTGTCTTCCTGGAATCTTTGTCAAAAATCAATTGATTTGTAATGTGTGGACTTATTTCTGGACCCAATGCCACTTCTTTTTTACATGCAATCTAACTTAGCCCTCCTGATGATCTTATGGACTAGGTTTCATTATCATTATTATTTTGACGATTATCATTTTATAGATTAGAAAACCTAGACTTGGTAAGGCTAAGAAGCTTGGCCTGTGACACAGAATTGAAAAGTGGTAGAGCTGGAATTTAGCCCTAGACCTGCCTAACTCTAAAATCTAGCATATCATGTTTGGATGCCCATGGACAACAAACAGGGTAAACTAACCATGAGTAATCAGTTCTGCAGAATCGGCTCATGTAAGTTTGACCTGAGCACCCCTTGCTCTACCAATGAGGCTTGTGTTTAGGGAAAAGCAAGTAGCTCAGTTTGTTTAAAGCAGCACAGGACATGTAATGGGAGTAAAGGAGATCCTGGGAATGCAGAAACTGGCCAGCTCTGGTGAGTGCAGTGAGAAAGTAAGGGATAGATTCTTGAGATTAGGCAGAGGAAGAATAGTCAGGATTTAATGGTTGATGAATAGTGCAGATAATGAGAAGGGACACTAATGACTATGACTTTAAACATAGCAGTTAAAGTCCCTAATGATGTTAGGATTGAAGCTAAAACCATCTACAACTAAAAAAATTAAAAAAAAAGAATGTTTCTCAGTTATCATGGCCTTGGTTTAGTCAAAGAGTTCATTTAGGTGTCAGTAAAATTGGAGGACTTCTCCACCTTCTCTGTTGAATCCACTTTTCCCAGTGACTGAAGTACACCTGTTTTCCCAGATAGAGTCTCTTTCTCTCAGGCCTGCTGGAGCAGCACTCTCAGAATTTTATTCCCCAGATTGCCTTCTTGCTCCCTAAAGTCCCTCTTCTCTTACAATGCTCCATGTTAAGCTCATGTTACAGGAATTAAATTTGAGATTTGAAAGCCTTTTTTTTTTTTTTTGCTGCAGACTAACCAATAAACCCTAATTCCATTAGTAAAGACCATCTCAGTAAAACTAGCTGCCTCACTCTCCATTTTGTGCTGAACCCAGTAGCTACAGGCAGAAGTCACACTATTTTAACCTTATTCAAGAGGAGATGTGCTGGGCTGGGATTGTGGCTCAGCGGTAGAATGCTTGCCTCACATGTGTGAGACCCTAGGTTCGATCCTCAGCACCACATAAAAATAAAAGTTATTGTGTCCATCTATAACTAAAAACAAAAAGGAGATGTGCTGAACTTGGCTCCTGCACCCTATAAGCTCTTTGGGTCATTTTGTTGAGGGTGACAAATAAAATTAACTTATTTTTCACCATTGAGGGTTTTGTAACCCTGTTATATAAAGTCTGAAGAAATGCCAAATTAAATTTAAAGGGGCAGATTAGAAATTATTTTGATTTTGAATTGTGAGGATATTTGTGATTTCTCCAGGGCTATCTGAAGGTTTTTTTCCTTGCTTCATGTGCATTATTTTCTTGAGGAGTTGCTCACAGAAGTGTTAACAACTTTCTTAACATTTCTCTTTTCTGTTGTTTTTCAATATTTAGGTCAAAGAAATCACCCGTGATATCAAGCAGTTAGATCATGCCAAACGCCACCTGACCACCTCAATCACGACGCTAAACCACCTGCACATGTTGGCAGGTGGTGTGGATTCCCTTGAGTAAGCAATGTAGACTTCTCTTTGGGGCCCACAAGATTCAATCTGAGGGGGATCCAGAAAGTACGTGAGAATGATTCCAAGAATGGGATTCACACGTGAGCTATACCATTATGGCAGACAGGGTGATTCAGGTCCAGAATCACTCCCAGCAGCCTCTATTTTGGAAAGTTTTCCTGCTGGTATTGGACTGAGTTGCACAGTCTGTCACCTTCACCTATGGAAACAGATCTTTGATGTATCATCAACCCACCTTGTTTTTGTTTTTTTTTTTTTTTTCTTTTTAAGATTGGGTGTTATTGTGTTGCCCAGGTTGGTCTTAAACTCGTGATCTTCCTGCTTCAGCCTCCCACTTTTTTTTTCCAAAGATGGAAGCTTCCTGTTTGGCTGATAGAGGGAATGAGACATGAGTACCTTAAAAATAGGTTTGAAAGTAGGAGCTGGTTATTTACTGCAAAGGATCCATCCAAATCCTCCTTCTCTAGCATTTCAGTTTACCTCTACAGTCTGTGTCAGGCTGAGAATTTCCTTTGATCCAGCCTCAGTGTAATTTCTTAAAGGACAGAGAAAGCCTCTTCACAGAAATGTTGATACAGTATCCAAAATCTTGAGATGATGGGAATAAAGGAATGCTTGGAAGGAAAGAAGAGAGAGCAGACTCCTTTGGAGCACTCCTGGGTGTAGCCTGGACATCAAGGAATCCCTAGTCTTTTCTCGTGCAAGGAGTGATCAGCCAGAGAACAAGTCAGCAGGACTGGAAGAACAGTTTGCGATATTCCTTCCCTCAAGTGTCCAGTGGTAGCAACATAACACCTTGGCTTGAACTTGAGCCTGCCTTTTCAAATGCCTCTGAAGGAAAATAATAAATTATACACTTAATGTAAAAGAACAACCCTGATGAAAAATTTAGATCTAATAGTTGTACTTCCTTGTGTGTAACTGTTGATTTTATCTGCATCTTTTATTTAAGCTTCATTAACCTTACAGTAGGGAAAGTGGACATCTCTGACACAGAGTTGCTTATATTGGCTTAAAACCTACAGATTTAACCTGTAAATGTATATAGATGTGTATCCTGAAAGATAGTGTGGTTTGTCCATATGCTACAATCCTCACATAGTAACATCTCTATCTGTTAAAACCCTGCTAATCCCATAATGCCCAATGCAAATCCAGATTCAAGTTGACAAGATTCTCCTCCCACCACCCAGTGAGAATCCATCTATTCACACATTTTTGTACCATTTGTAGCACATGACTTGTATTTCTATTTAATCTAGCAATTATTTTCATGTGTACTTGACTTTCTCCCTTATTGAATGGTGTCACCTTGAGGATTTGGGCCACATCTTTTTTTATTTTTTATTTTTCAAAATCACCCAGAACACAGCACCATACACATCCAGCATTTGGTAAATGTTTATTAAATTGAGTTGATGTATATTTTAGAGCTAGAGCAATTTTGTCTATGTCTATATCTCATGTCCTTAATGTGTTTTTTTGTTGTTGTTTTTAAAGAACTTTCAACTTCTAATTTCCTTGCAGAGCCATGACCAGGCGCAGACAGTATGGAGAAGTTGCTAATCTTCTTCAGGGTGTAATGAATGTTCTGGAACACTTCCACAAGTATATGGGGATTCCACAGATCCGGCAGCTTTCTGAAAGGTAAAATGTCACTGAAGAAAAGGTCATCATTTGAGAAAAGATGGCATAGGAAGTGCTTAAGCGCTGAGCTCTACATGCTCATGGTTGAATCTTATTGTATGAAGCAACCTCAGTTGTTATCTAATCTAAATCTGTGTGATGTTGGGATCCCCCTATAATGCCACTTATAATGTCTTCTGAGCTACCTGTGTCAGATAGCTACTGTTGTATATATGCAAAATTCTTAGTGTCCACATTTGTGAAGGAAACTGTCCCAGTTATTTTCTTGTCATAAATAATCACAAAATCACAAAACTTGTTGTCTTGAAACAATTATTTTGTCCATGAAACTTGGCCTGGCTCAGTGAGAACTCTGTGCTCCATGCAGTGTCGGCTGAGGCAGCATGAGAGGGAATTTGAAGAACCAAGTTCATGGCTGATACATTGATGCTCATTGTCACTGGGAGCTCACTCAGGTGTGGACTGGGATCCCTGTTTTCCTCTGTGGGCTGCTTGGCCTTCCTCATTGTAAGATGGCTGGGTTCCAAGAATGAGCATCCCAAGAGAACTTGGCCTTGACAGCCACATAGCATCACTTCTGCTATAGCCACAAGGCTTTCAAGGTTCAAGAGGAAAGAACTCTTCCCTTACCTGCTCAATTGGAGAACTGTCGAAGTCACATTGGTAAAAGAGCATGTAGGCTGGGATGTATGGCTGGGCAATTTTGTGTGTGTGTATGTGTGCTTGGGATCAAGCCCAGGGCCTCACTCATGCCTGGTAAATGCTCTATCCCTGAGCTACATCCCCAGCCTTACTGTGACAATCTTTAGAAAATATGCCACTAGAACTTCAGATATGATAAAATTATGACTTTCTCTCTAACTTTATTCTTTCCTTCCTACCACTGTTTCCTTTTAATCTCAAATGCAGATCCAATAAGAAGAAAGATAGATGCTTATAGCAAAGAAATATGAGGCTTCTAAAGGAGGGTGAGATGTGGTTAATTCATTGCCTTTTCTATTAGAAAACACTAAGGAAGAGATAATGGTGACTGACAAATTCTAACCTTCCTTGCAGCAAAGAAGAAATGAAAGGGCAGCAACCATCATGTTCGAATCTCTTTCTTAGTAAGGCCTGACTGCAGCAGATTTTTTTCTTCTTCTTTCTTTTGGGTGTTCTACTGTTGAGCTATATACCCAGCTATTTTTATTTTTTATATAGTCTCTCTCAGTTACGAAGCTGGTCTTGAACTTGCGATCCTCCTACCTCAGCCTCCTGAGATGCTGGGATTATAGGTGAGCATCACTGTTCGTGGCCAGACTTCTCTTTTCCTAAATTTCTTTATATTTAATTATATAAGTAATTCATGTGTACATTCTCCTTCACTTAAAAAAGTGAAAAACACAAATGAGATTTAAGTCTCCTTTAACTGTACTTCAAATCCCATTACTCTTCCTATAGAGAGTGACTGTTATGAATTTAATGTTTATCCCTCTGGAAATTTTTTTTTTCTTTTTTTGACAGAGTCTCATTATGTGGTCCAGGTTGGCCTCAACTTCCTGGGCTCAAATGATCGTCCTACTTCAGTATCCTAAATTGCTGGGACTATAGGCACACGCCCTCTGCCTGGCCCTCCAGATTTTTATTTGTTCATTTACATGAATCTGTACTTGCATTTTGTGGTTTTGTTTTACGTAGATGCCTTTATACTACTTACTTTGTTCTGAAACCTGCTTTTCATTTTCAACCTAGCAACATATTTTAGGTCCCGCCCCCACATTAATATGTATAGGTCTAACTCATTCTGTGCATGGAATTCCAGAGTATAACATTCCACAGATTATTTAACCATTTTCATTTCAGTAGATTTTTCCTAATTTTTAAAATATATCTCCTTTCATACATATTCAAGTATTTCTTTAGAGTAGATTGAGTCACAAGATTATATACATTTAAAATTGTGATAATTATTACTTATTCCCCCGCCTCAAAAAAAAGCTTTATATTTTTATAGTATCACCTGTAAGGACATGACTGCCCACTTCCCTGTACTTTCAACAACATTTGATACTATCAGTTTTCATTTGTATCAATCTGATTGAAGAAAAATGTATCTAGTTGTGCTGCTTTTCATTTCCTGGGTTACCTGTGAGGCTAATGTTTTTTCCTTTTGATGACTGGTTATGTACATTTCCTTGGTGAAGTGTGTTTTAATTTTTAGAAATTCTTCTTCCTTTTTTTTTTTTTTTTTTTTTCTTTTATGATACTGGGGATTGAGAACCCAGGGCTTCACACATACTAAGCAATCACTCCACCCACTAAACTACATCCTCAACTCTCTTTAATTATATTTTATTTTGAGACAGGGTCTTGCTAAGATCCCCAAGTTGCCCTAGGACTTGTGATCCTCTTGCTTCAGCCTCCTAAATAGCTATGATTGAAGGCTTTTGCACCACCATACTTGGTTGCTTAATAGGAATTAATTATGTATTGTGGATAGTGTCCCATGATATCTAGGTAGATCATGCCTATAAAACCATTTGAGTGTATTACATATTTTAGATGCAGATCTTTGTTCTTTTAATTTCTTCTATGATAATTAGATAGTTTACTTTTTTAATTTTTAAAATTGTGGTAAATATATATAACACAAAATTTATCATTTTAACTATTTTTGAGAGTATAATGCAGTGACATTAAATACACTTAAATTATTATCTAAGTATCGTCACTATGCATTTGTAGAACTTTTTCATCATTCCAAACAGACTGTGTACCCATTAAATATTAACTTCCATTTCTTCCTCTCTCTCCTCTGATTCTGTGAATTTGCCTGTTCTTGCTATCTTATATAAGTGGACTCAAACAAGATTTGTCCTTTTGTGTCCAGCTTATTTCACTTAACATGACATTTTCAAGATTAATCCTGGTTCTAGCATGCATTAATTCTCTTCCTTCTTAAAGTTGATATTCCATTGTATTTGTATACCAGATTTTGTTTATCCATTCACCTGTTGACGGACATTTGGGTTGTTTATGTTTTTTAGCTATTGTATTTTTGGTATTTATCATTACCTGCTAAAATGTGAAGTCAATCTGATTCTTAAGCCTTTATAAGATGATCTGTTTTTGTTGGTTTTTCTTTTGCTTTGGTTGCGTTTCAGATTTAGGGCTAGGAGGATCGGGGAATTTTTTTAATATTTATTTTTTAGTTTTAGTTGGATACAATACCTTTATTTTATTTATTTTTATGTAGTGCTAAGGATCAAACCCCACGTGCTAGGCGAGTGCTCTATTGCTGAACCACAATCCCAGCCCAAGATTAGTGAATTTTATTAGGATACAGTCCTTTTTTATTTGTATTGCACTGTACTTTTTATATCTTTAATCTAAAGACTTATATGTTTCTTTTTAATTTTTTTTTTCCTACTGGGCAACCCACTTCAGTGCCAGCAGCCTACAGGCAGAGGCCAGACAGTGATTCAGGGCCACAGTTTGCTCCGGCATGGGACACTATGAGAGGCTCAGGAGAACAGGAGTTTCTTAAGTTCTAAGAAATTGTTCTCTTTTATTCTTTTCTTTGAGTAGTCTTTATGATTTGTTTTCTCTATTCTCTCCTTGTAGAATTCCTATTACATGAATGTTGGAACTTCTAAATTTGCCATATTATTTTTACGTGTGTGTGTGTGTGTGTGTATAGTATAGTGTATATATACTACTTTTCCATCTTTTTGCCCTTTGGGACTGCTTTTTAAAAGAATTCCTCAATTCAGTGTTCTGTTTTAATTTATTCTTTACTTTTGTCTATCCTGCTATTTGGCTCAGCTATTGACTTTTTTATTTAATAATCAAGCTTTTTAATTTCTAGGAAATCTAGCTGTTTTTTCCCCCCATGGATGATAGCCTCTTAAATCTCTCAGAGAATATAAATTACACGTATCTGAAAGGTCTGAATTGCCTGATTTGCATGGTAACTCTCTTTCTTGGTGTTAGCATTCTTCAGATATGTGGTGATTCTGGGGCTGGGGATGTGGCTCAAGCGGTAGCGCGCTCGCCTGGCATGCGTGCGGCCCGGGTTCGATCCTCAGCACCACATACAAACAAAGATGTTGTGTCCGCCGAAAACTGAAAAATAAATATTAAAAAAAAAAAATTCTCAAATACGTGGTGATTCTTAGCTGAAAGCTCATTTTTTATTTTTGACATTCTCTGTTAGTCTGATCAGGAATGTTGTTTTACTGCCACCTAATAGTGGAGGAGAGGTGGGGTGTGCTGCTCGGTTCAGTTGTACAACAGATGGCTCTTGTAAGGTGAGGTGCAGGAGCTGCCAGGTGGTTGTGCCAGGGGCTGATCTTCTGCTCTTGGAGGCTCCCTGTTCTTGGATGTTATCAGCAACTCTGGCTACTGCTGAGGTTCTCAGACCCAAGGGCCCACACCCAGTGCCTGACTATGCATTCCGGATGAGGATGCAGACGTGGACACTGGCTTAAATGTTTCTATTGCAAGAGTCCAGTGTATCCTGCTGGAGTTTGCCTCAGGATCCCCTGCTGCTCCTGGTATCCACCACCTTCCTGTCTTTCATTTTTAAGAAGCATTGTTAGGCATTAATGTTTGTCTTTAATCTTGTCCCACCAGGAAGTCTTCAGAGTGTCTAGTTTACCACTTCTCTTGCTTGGTTCTGGATTTTTATTCAGATATTTTCAAATTTCTAAGGATTTGAGGCAGGAAAGGGAGGTTACAGCATGTGCTCAGTGTGCCATCTCATAGTGGAAATGCCAAGAAGTTACTAAGGAATGTCGGAATAGAGCTTGGCAGAATACTAGGGAAATCACCACCCTTTCCCTCATCCTTCCTAACCCCTTCACACATAGAGCTGGCTGATTGCCTTATCAGACTAGAAATGTGAAGCAGCCAAGAAAGCCCATGAACAGAACTGTATGAGCTGCAAGAGAGAAGGAAGCTCTGATGGAGAAGGCAGTCTTGCTCAGTAGGTGGTGAGGATCATCATCTCTCATGATGATCTACAGTTGATACTTTTTCCCCATTCATTCATTTTTTTCCTTCATCTATCTTCCAGACCTTTACTATCTACCTTGTATATTCTAGGTCCTGTGCTGAGGTAATAAAGTCACCAAGATAAAAAATACAAACTCTCTGCCCTCAAAGAGTTCACCATTTTTGTATGGAGAAGAAGAAAGACACTAATAGAAAATTCTAGTATAGCACAGATGCAACAAAACTAGTATGTGCTGTAGAAAGTATATACGATCTTGGGAGAGGAATTGATAGAGTGAAGCAGGGAGTGAGGGTGGGTTTCACAGAAGAGTTCAATTTTAATATGAATCTTAAAAGGAGGATCTTACCACCAAGATAAGAAGTGGTAGGGGAGGGGGAGGACATCATATCATGGTACTTCTGCTGCATGGGTAGATATGGTCACAGTTTATATGTCTTTCTAAAGACTTTATTTTGTGTTTTTTATAGTAAAAACTTTTTTTAAGCAGAAAGGGACATGGTCTCATTTATGTTTTATAAAGTCTGATGGATTATATATACAAGAGGTAGAGATGAGGAGAATGGCATAGCCTGGAAAAGATAAGAACCTTGGAAGAAGGTGTGTTTAGGAGTGAGCTGCCAGTTGGTTGTATGGAAGGAATATGACACATCATTGATATCAGGAATATGACAGAACCGACATGTATAGCAGCATAGATATTCGATAAGGTTGTCAAGACCATTCAATGAAGAAAAAGCAGTGTTTTCAATAGTGCAGGGGAAGCTGGATATCAACATACCAGAGATTAAAGTTGGATCATAAGATGGCACCATATATAAAAATTCATTCAAAATATATCTATGACTTAAATGTAAGACATGAAATTATAAAATTCTCAGAACAAAATATAGAGCAAATCTTCACAATATTGGATTTGGTAATGATTTCTTAGATAATGACACAAAAGACATAGGCAGCAAAAGAAAAAGTAAATAAAATGGATTTCATGAAAAATTTTAAAATGTGTCCATCTAAAGCACTATCAAAAGAGTGAAAAAAGCAACCCACAGAACAGGAGAAAGTATTTACCAATCCTATTATCAGACAGAGCTCTAGAATATATACAAAACTCTTAAAACTCAACAACACAAAAACAGCCTGATTAAAAAATAAGTAAAAGACTAGAATAGACATGTCTCTAAAGAAGATATACAAATGGCCAAAAGCACATGAGATAATTAGTTCAGAATCTGTAATCATTAGAGAAATCCAATCAAATCTCACAATAGTGAGATACCACCTAATGCCCATTAGAAGGCTGCTGTTAAAAAAAAAAAATCCCAGGGCTGGGGTTGTGGCTCAGCAGTAGAACATTTGCCTAGCACGTGTAGGCACTGGGCACTGGGTTCAATCCTCAGCACCACATGAAAATAAATAAGTAAAATAAAGGTATTGTGTCCAACCACAACTAAATTAAAAAAAAAAAAAAACAGTTGGGTGTGGTGACACACACCTATAATTCCAGGAGCTTGGGAGGTTGAGGCAGGAGGACCAAAAGTTCAAAGCCAGCCTCAGCAACTTATCAAGGCACTTAGCAACTCACAAGACCCTGTATCTAATTTTATATATATATATATAAAATATATATAGGCTGGGGATGTAGCTCAGTGGTTATGCACCCCTGGGTTCAATCCACAGTATCATAAAACCCAACACAGGAAATAATGAGTGTTGGCAAGGATGTGGATGTGGAGAACTGGAAACTCTTGTGCACTGTTGGTAGGAATGTAAAATGGTATAGTAAGGCAGTTTCTTTAAAGATGCAATGATGCACATTTGTAATTCCAGCTACTCAGGAGGATGAGGCAAAAGGATCAAAATTTTAAAAGACAGCCTGGGCAATTTAATAAGACTCTTTTTCAAAATAAAATAATAAGAAGGGCTAGGGACGTAGCTCATTGTTAGAACACTTTCCTAGCAAGGCCCTGAATTCAATCCCTCGTACTACAGGGGGAAAAAATATTAAAATTAGAATTACCATGCTATCCAGCAAATTCACTTGTGGGTATGTTCCCCAAAGAATTGAGAGCCTATCTAAAAATATCTAGGAGATATTAGTATACCCATGTACTAGAATGCCCTTGGATAAAAATGGCATGTTTACTCATAACTTAGGCACATTCTCCCCTACACAGATTGAGCATCCCTAACCAAAAACTTTGAAATCAGAAATGCTTTGAAATCTGAAACTTTTTGAATGCTAACATGACACTCAAAAAAAGTCTGTACAGATATTTCAAAATCTGAAAAACTCTGAAATCTGAAACACTTCTGGTCTCAGGGAAACAAATCAGAGTTATTCAAATTGTACTTTAAGCTGGGCATAGTGGAGCATGCCTGTAATCCCAGTGGCTCAGGAGGCTGAGGCAGGAGGATCACAAGTTCAGCAATGGCAAGGCGCTAAGCAACTTAGTGAGACCCTGTCTCTAAATAAAATATAAAATGGGGCTGGGGATGTGGCTCAGTGGTCAAGTGCCTCTGAGTTCAATCCCTGGTACAAAAAAAAAAAGGGGGGGGGGGCTGGGGATATGGCTCAAGCGGTAGCGCGCTCGCCTGGCATGCGTGCGGCCCGGGTTCGATCCTCAGCACCACATACAAATAAAGATGTTGTGTCCGCCGAAAACTAAAAAATAAATATTAAAAAATTCTCTCTCTCTCTCTCTCTCTCTCTCTCTCTCTCTCTCTCTCTCTCTTTAAAAAAAATCAAACTTTCCTTTAAATCATCTCTAGATTTCTTATAATATGTAATACATTGTAAATGCTATGTAAATAGTTGTTACACTATATCTTTTAGGGAATAATGACTACAAAAGGTACTCATATTTAGTTTGGACACTTTTATTTTTATTTAATTTTGTGTGTGGTGCTGGAGACTTAACCCACAGCACCTGTGAATGTACACACTGTACCATCATTAGCCCCATCAAACACTTTTTTTTCTGCAATATTTTTGATCTGCAGTTGGTTGAATACACTGATGCAGAACCCACAGATACAGAAAACTGTGTTTGACTAAAGATTCCACACATAGGAGAGATCATGCAGTATTTTTCTTTCTGTGTCTGGCTAATTTCACTTAACATAATGCCCTCCAGATTTATCTATGTTGTTGAAAATGGTAGGATCTTCTTTTAAAAAGCTGAATAATATTTCTTTATACAGTAGAATACACCACAGTTGTGTTTTGTTATGTTTTTTGGCAGTGCTGGGGCTTGAACTCGGGGCCTCACACTTACTAGGCACTTTACCGCTGAGCCACATCCCCAGCCCCACACCACAGTTTCTTTACCCCATTCACCTAACAGTGGACACTTAGGTTGACTTTTCACTTGACTATTGTGAATAGTACTGCTGCATACATAAGAGGACAGATACCTGTAGTATGAGGTATTGCTTTTATTTTGGGGGGTTATACACACAGAAGAGGATTACTGGGTCATATGGTAGTTTTATTTTTAATTTTTTGAGGAACCTCAATTTTTATTTTCCATAGGGCTATACCAATT